TGAGGTATTTCAGCAGCTTATCTGGAAATTAAGTGGGGCAGAGTGGCCGCCGAGTCTGTAAAATTACTCAATCAGCCGTGAGATTTGAAGTAATTTACGACGTTTGCAGGCAGTAATGATTGCAGAATGCAGACAGTCGTGTTGTATTTGGATAATGTTGATATATGAATGTGTTTTTGGGAGTGCAGGGAGGAGATGGAGCTGATGGTTCGCCTTCCACACTCGTATTTTATTGTTTATCTGTGAAATGTAATGTGTAGAGGACAGCGTCGCTGTATCTGCTCACATCCTTTAAACCTTTAGGATCAATGAGCAGAACAGAAACGACCCTCAGACATCAGGTTCAGGGTTCTGCTTGATCATGTGACCACCTGGGCATCCAGGTATTTACAGCGTCTCAACATGTGGATTAAAAACTGACAGGAAACTGCTCCTGAGCTCAAATGAGTTCGTTATTAATCAGTTATTGGACAGAAGTTTAATCAGCAGCAGGCAGCAACTGCTTTTCTCTCTTTTCTAAAGTTTCTGATGCTGAGACGGAAGGACTCATCTGCAGCCTTTGGTTCTGGTTCACCACAAACTGCTATATGAGACAGACTTCATGCTGTTACTGTGACTGTCTGACCCACTTCCAGCAGGTGTTTCTCACATTGTAATCTGAGGCTGTTTGAGCAACAACATCTGAGGAACTGTTAAAGATAAAAACCTAAAATGTTCTCGGTTATTTCTCATTGTGTCACTGATTCAGAACCTGTCAGAGCGGACCGTAGATCAGAAAAAAGGTAATTCCACCTTGACATGATGAGAAGCAGTCATGTTAAAAAGAAATTATTTTATTTCTAACTGTTCCTGAGACTTTATCGTTGAAACAGCCTCAGTGTGTAAAAAACCTGATGAAACTTTTTAAAACACTTTTCTTAGAAAGTATTTTATGTATGAACAGAAAATTCATAGTTAATGATAAAAAGCTCTAAAACTGTGATGGTTTGAGATGAGATAAGCTCATCAGAAAGAAAACAGCAGAAACAGGAGATGAGAAATGTGACGGGTCAACCTGCTTTACTGAGGTTCTGATCCACAAATACTGGAGGTCCGACCTGTGATGAGCCGAGTGATGCTGTCAGT